AACTACATCTTGCTTGGGCATTTGACAGCTGCGGGGTGTGACAGCAGTATAAAGTTGGGAAAAATGAAAATACGCTTGAGACTTTCCACTTTACTTTTACTTCATGGCTGCCTCTCCCATCTCCATCCCCCCGCGCCCTGAGCCACTGCCCCTTTTCAAAATTAATCCTGCCCCTTTGCCAGCCAAACGAAAGCTCTGCAAGGCGCCTGCAGGCGTCATGGGCAGGCTGGGAAGGAATAGGCCAGAGTCCTTGTCATACTGAAACGATTAGGGCCGATTAGTAACAATTACCCTCCTCTCTCTCTGGAGAGATAAAGAGAGCTAAGCAGTGCTGCTCCCTCTTCCTGCTTTTACTAGATGCAGGAGCTGACCTGGTTGAAATACCCAAGCCGTCAAATGGTGCCCACCTACCATCTGCCTTCTGCGCGGCAGGCTCAGAAAGAGTTGAAGAGGGAGCGCGGACCTTTCCTCCATCATTGCAGTGTGTGGTGACTGTGGCTGGACAGCTACTCCACTCACAACTCTTCCTGCTTTCGCCAGCTCTTGCCTGAAGGATCCTGGCAGGACGTTTGGGGTCGTTTATCGCAATAAAGGAGAGACCCCCATCTTCAGCAGAGCCCAGCCTCACTTCCATTCCTACACGGGGATGTGGCTCTCCTGCCACATAGGGCAGTGATAGGTGTTAGGAGTGGCTAAACCAAGGTCCCTATTACGAGATCTAATGATAGCTGCAAGTGGGGCCGAAGTACCCAGCCATTCTTTGATGCATGTCACACCTAATCCCAGTGTTCAGGTTCCCTGTGTAACTCATTGCTACCTTGTCGTTTCGGGGCAGCTGCAAGTCTGGGAGGCACTAGAGAGTTTTCTCCTTTGTGTTTTCATCCCGCATTATGGTCATATTCGTCCGTTAAATACTTCGCTATTTCCCACATCCAAAGCTGCCTGAATCCTGGGCGCTTGCTGTAGAAAGGCTAGTGCTGCAGTTCCTTAGGAATCCAGGCTCGTTGCTGGGGATAATGAATCACTGCATGCGTCAGCATGTAACTATTGTAAATAGTGGATCAATATTTAGATCACTTTTGCTGTTCATTACTTCGTTATTCGCTGTGTCTGTGCACAGAGCAAGTATCAATATCAGAAAGGCCAGGCAGTTAATTACTGCATTGAAACAAGTCCCTGAAATCTCAGCTCCAGCCTCATATGTTATCAAAATGATTCAAAGGCTTCTGCTGAGATTCGATAACCCAAAACTATGGGCAACTCAACTGGAGCAGAGATCAGGGACCCAGCTTCTGGGTAGTATGGGAAACATAGCAGTTACCAGACTCAATCAGACCCAAGTCCATCTAACCAGCATCCTGTCCCCAACAGTGTCCGGCTCCAGCTACTTGAGAGGAAGGTGCAAGAAATACTGCAGTGATGGGATAACGTGCCCCTGGGGGAAGTTTTCGCCTGACCCCTGTTAGTCAGAGTTGGGCTCATGCCCTGAAGCAGGCAGGGGGGTTTTAGCTCTCCCAAAACTTTTGCTGTTCGTTTTTTTTAACCTTTCACTGTTGTAACTCTGCATAGTCTCAATTTTTTTTCATGTAAAGGCCCAATCTTTTTTTGATCCTGCTAAACATGATATCTTGTGGCAATGGATTCCCCAGGCTAATAGTGCCCTGGGTCATAATGCCCACCACACTCAGGTTGGTTTAAAAATATTCAGTGGAGACCGCTACAAAATATATAACAACTTGAGGTTATATAGAATTTTTCACCCATAGATCTCAAAGTGCTTCGCAAAGGAGATGGGCATCATTATCCCCACTACACAGAAGGGGGACTGAGGCATGGAGAAGGGAAAGTCACGTAGCAAACCAGTGGAAGAGCTGGGACTAAAACCCTGCTCTCTTGAGTCTCGAATCCAGTGTCCTGTCCTCTAGGCAACAGCCTCTAATGCCCTGTTATGCCTGAAAATCATCTTACCTTTCCTTCCTTCCCCACATCCCTAGGCCATAATGAGGAAGGATGGCCCAGCATTTAGGGCACTGGCCTGAAATGTGGGAGACCCAGGTTTGATTCTCTGCTTTACAGCAAACTCCCTATGTGACCTGGGGCAAGTTATTTAACCTCTTTGTGCTTCAGCTGTCTGGCTGCACAATGGGTCGCCACCTCACAAGGGGCACGGTGAGGATAAACCCCTTGAAGACCGCGAGGCACCCAGATACTGCAGGGCTGGACAGCTGCGTAAGTGCCACAGACATGTCAGCGTGGTTGCCGCCTCACCCTTCTTTTGTCTCTCTCCCCCTGTTGCCCCTGCAGGTGAAAAGCCTTTTGAATGCAAGCTGTGTCACCAGAGGTCCCGAGATTACTCTGCCATGATCAAACATCTCAGGACCCACAACGGCGCTTCCCCCTACCAGTGCACTATCTGCCTGGAATACTGCCCCAGCCTGTCTGCCATGCAGAAACACATGAAGGGCCACAAGCCAGAGGAGATCCCCACTGACTGGAGGATAGAGAAGACCTATCTCTACCTTTGCTATGTTTAAGGGACATGGAGGGGGAAGATTTTAAGTCATGAAGGACTGGGCAAAAAAATGCATCATCCATGGCCTTTTATTCTGTTATTGTTTACTAAAGGGATTCTCGGTTTTTGTTTCTGGCTCGTGAGGTGTTTGTGTGGGGGAGGGGGAATAATTCCCTTTTTAATTTGGCGGGTTCTCTGTGCAGTCGATGAGAAAACTCATCCGAATCGAGCCATAGCCAAATATCTGCTCATGTTTTGTGACGACGCACGTCAAGGGCTTTGGAAAGAGCAGGTGAAATGTCGCTGGGTGGGAGGGGAAGGGGCAGTCCCAGCGCAAGCTTTGGGGTCTGAGATTTTTGGGTTTGAATTTTTTTGTCCCGTTTTTGCCACATTTGCTTAATTTACTCAGGCCTCATCTACATTTAAAAATGAGGGCAGCCTACCTACCCTCAGTCATCCGCTTTATTCAGCTGCCCTCTCGTGCAACCTCACCAGTAGGTGGCAGTGTAACGCCTATTGTTAAAATCCCCTTCAGAGGTTTTCCCCCAAAATTAGATCGAACATCCCTGTTTTTGGGGTACCCAGAAATACCAGGGCAGATGATGCGCAGCATGACAGGCTGTATGCTCTGGAGGTTTGTTGGTCGTGCTAATAATGTGGCAGGTCACATTGCAGTCAAGATTTCCCCAAGTAACTAGTGAGTTGGGGAGCCTGGCATTTTTTTGCCTGCCCGACTTGAGACGCCCTGAATTTCAGAACATGCTGATCACCCTCGTCGGTGACTCCAACCGGGCAGCCGGAATCACTAGTCAGTCTGGCAGAACTTGGCGTAAGTAAAGGCACAACCGGAATTTTCCTCAGGAGGGGGCCCAGGGAGATGACCCCTTCGGAGCCGGCATCGGCCCCAGGTGGAGAAGACGGTGGGCTGTAGGTGCCCGTGGGCGCAGCATGGCTCAGCTTGGTGTGTGGCTCTCAGAGAACAGAGCCAGCAACAGGCAAGTTTGTGGGGCTGCAGCCAGGGGAGGAAGTTGTGGGATGTGCCACGCCTGGGCACCAATGCCAGGGCAGGGCACATCACAGGCAGCACAGGGCGGGAAGGTACCATGCAGCCCCGTGGGCATCCAGTGCCCCCATTCCCCGTGAAAAGCCCTGGCATCAAGGCTGCAGCCCCCTTCTTCCCTCCCTGCTCGGGAAATGCCGGGGCCTCCCCTCCCAGCCAGCAGCACCAGGACTCTGGCCGGGGTTCTCCCGTTGGGCACCCCACCCATTACCTCCTGGGTGCGTGGCAAGTCCCTGGCCGCTGGGCCACCCTGAACTGCTGTCTGGAGCATGGGTGGCCGTAGCTGGGTCTCTCCTCAGATCCAGCCAAGGGAAGGCTGTCCCCCGGCCCATGTTGCACCTGCTTGGGCATAAGTAAAATTAACCTGAACTTTGCTTCAGTTTCCCCCCGCCCCACTGCCCCTGGGCTGCTGTGTTTCAGATGGCAGATAGTTTCCTGAAAACGTTTTCAGATTTTATTAATAAAATGTGAAAACAAACGGTTTTGGAGAAAATGAATTTGAATAAAAATTCAATTTGAAGGAAACGATTAAAATAAATTTGACGATGGAAACTAAGTGAGCTTCAGATTGCTTGCATGCCTCTTAGTGCAGGGTGTCAGGAGCATGCTGGCGACTTAGACTAGGATAGTAATTCTCCTGCTGCACAGGACAGGTAGGGTGACTTCTCAACCTAGTATGGAGCATGCCTTCCGAGTGCCCCCCTCAATCAGACTCCTCAGTTAGCAAAGTTCTTGTTACGTTACCACTTGGAACGATCAGAAACTGACCGCTGTTGAACCTCTCGTTCGTGCACAGAAAGTTGCCCTGGATGTTTTGATCAATGTCACTGCTCCTCTTATGGCCAAGTCCGTTGGTGCTGGTGGTTGTCCCGCTATAATAAAAGCTACTTGGGTATTTTGGGCCAAAGCCAGTCTGTTCAAGAGCTTAGAACTTGGCTGCAAAAATTGCCTCTAGGCTGTAACCCTCTCTCCTGACCAAAGACCTTTCTATGCATTTTTTTTTTGAGGGGAGGGAATTAGAACCAGATCAAAAGGGCAAAAACTTCCAGCCTGTTTGTCAAATCCCAGTGGTTGGACAAGTGTGTCTTCAGATGAGGGAGTCACAGTTCAAGATGCTCTTAAACTGCCCCCTGGTGCCTGGGTATTGCCAGGGGTCTGAAGGAATGATGGGTGAGCTCGTATTCCCTCCTCCTGCAGACACATGCAATATATCCCCCTGGCTTGCAATGCGTTACAATGACTCAGGCTGGTTAAATGCTAACCTGTCCGTTTGGCCTAAATTTGTCAGAGATTTGAGGATTGGGGAGTAATTCACAAGTTCAGGTGACGGATTTTGTATGTATCCTGCTGCTCAGTAGCTCACTTTTGTGTCTCCGCTTATGCTACGCCTTGCAATTCAACAGTGCTCTTCTTTTTTAAAGTAAGAGTCCTTTAGAAACCATCCCATCTGGCTGCAAGAGCTTTGCTCTGAATGGGGAGATGCGTTTGGTTTTGGGTTTGTTTTCCATGTTTCATAATAGAAACATACCAATTAATTTTTTTGCTCAGCCCTCTGTCCAGGAAGCTATGAAGGAGTGAATGGTAAAAGACGGCTTTTCTTTGTGTTTGGCTTTGGGGGGTTTCGTTTTTGTTTTAATTTTGAATATTTCTGTTTAGCACATTTTACTTGAAATTACCTCGGTTTTTTGTGACCTCATGAGCTTTTATTGCTGGGTTGGAGGTTTTTGTTTTGTTAAATGGATGGGTTGTTTAAAAGGCCATGCCGCAGATCGGTGACATGCGGTGTAAGAATCGCATGCTCGGTGAGTGCAAAAGTGCCACAACAGCCGCAAAAGTAATTTTACGGTGGTTTTTGTGCATTATCATTACCAAAATTGGTATTTTTTTAACGGCCTGCCTTGACAGAGCTGGGGTCGTTGATTCTGAAAGCTACCTCTTATGTTTGGTTTTTGTTTTTATTTTGCAGTTATGAAAGCACATTTTGCAATATTTGTGTTCGCTTTGTGATGTCATTTCAATTTTCATCTCATGCTTTACTTGCAATTGTATATTATTTTGTAACTTAGCTGCATTTATATTAAACAAAAAAAAGTTAGGGAAGCGTTTTGTAGATGGAAGTAAAGGGAAAAAAATGAGGGGTGTTATACTGCTGTGCCCACCCTACCCCCAACCTTGTCTCAACTGTCAGGAAAAATTTGAAGGCCTTAAAACTGGGGGAAATAACTTCATGTGACAGTGGAGCAGGGTAACTTACCGTTTAGTGAAGATTTAGTGCTTTGAAAAGGAAAGAGTTAAACTTGAATATGTGACTAGAACAGTAGAGTCTTGTTTATAATGTGAAAAATGTGAGTATAAAATCACTTAGGGCAGAACTTGGATAAATAAATATGCACTAACGCATCAATTTTGCGTTAGCCAGCGATGGCCATGAGATAATCTCCGTCTCAAAACTAAACCTGATGTCAAAAATGTTTAAGGTATTCCACAAAATGAACCCATTCTTCACATCCACCCCGTCCCCCATTCACCAAGCTGAAAGGGTTGAACTGATATTTACAAAGTGTAATATTTTTGTAATATTTGTTAGTCCCTGTGTCAGTTTCCACAGGACCTTGCCCTTCCTTTTGTAATGTGAACAGGAATTGTGTGTGCGTGCGTATGCGTGTGTGTATGCTTTTTGTGCGTGTGGTTGTGTATTAAATCATGCAGTATTGTTGTAATCCAGTGTTGCAGCTTTGGATGGTACTAAATCAAAATATTGCAACTTCAAAATCACATGCAGGAAATGTATGCAAACATGCATGTCAAATGCAGATTTCCTACATCTGCTAACAGAGGCTTGAGGTAGAGTGGGGAACAGGCAGTACTGTAGGTATTGATGACTTAACAATAATTTCTGTTTATTGTTTGGAGTTACATTACTCCTTGGCAATCATCAGTTGTATTTACTGTTAACTGCAGAGAAGCAAATTCTTCCTCAACCCGCCAATCTAAAAAATATTATTTGCTGTTGAATGTTAGAGTATATGTGAAGGCAGTTCAGATGCGTCAGGGGCAGAGCACAAACACATACAGAAGTAGACAGGGTGACAGACTTCACATGGAGCTCAGGCAAACATGAACAGGTCTGGAATTTAGGGTGAATCTAGCTACGTTCTCCCTCCTTCCATTAGAGAGCACAATCTTACGGGGCGGGCAGGGGGAACAGGGGAAAATATTGTGTGCAGTTTTATCTTCAGAGCAGCATCACTTCTTTGCTCCGTTGGCCAGGTCAGTAATTTCCGTTTTAGATAGTCAGTTACCATTTTGAACACCGCTTATCACAGTATATAGTACTCTTTGTGAATTAGAATTGCAACTGCCTTAAACAGTTCTTTCAAAACTTCTCCAAATGCAAAGCAGAAAACTGGCTATATGCGCACACCTTACTCTGTTCATATCATCCATTTTGAACTTATACCTGGCTGTGTCTGGTGATGTTTTGGGAATAAAATTAGTGTTGTCTCTCAATTTACACCATGAAGATCCTTTTTATGCATTACATATACAATACATATATATTAAAGCATACACGCAGGTAGGTGCGTGCGTGCGAGCACACACACACACACACATAGGATTGATAATATCTTTGCTGTTTTGTGTTGGGAATGGGAAGCAGAACAGATGCTGATTTAGTACAATCCAGGTTGTAAGTCTGGAGAATGGCTTGTTTAATCTTTGTGCCTGAAAACAGTTTTTCACATTTAAAAGAAAAAAAAATTGCTGCGATTTCTCACAAGTATATGGTACCTTTTTGCAGTAAATTGGTACTGCTGGCTGGGGGGATGTCATGGTACAATGGAGCAAACAACTAATTTTCCAACACAATTTATTTTCCATTGGAAGACCCTCTCTTCCTCCTCGCCCCCACTCCCCCCCACCCCCAGGTGTTGGCACATTTTGGCTGCACCACCTGGCACTGTGCAAACTGAAGTTTGTTTCCTACCAGACCCAAAAATTTCAAAATCAGGGATGTTTTAAATTTAAAGACCAGAACTTTTGTTGAGTAAAAACTCATCAGACAAAATGAGAACACTTGATTACTTTTCACTCCACTTACATCTCATTGGTCTCCCCTTGTCCGTCCCCGCCCCATCCTCCTCATTGGGACATCTGCTTCTGTGGGTGTCATTCCAAGACTGCTTTAACCCATAGGACAGAAAAGAGGGTTGACCAAAAAAAGGCAGCAAATTCACCTCCAACACACAGCTTTGAAATATCATTCCAATGAATGTGGCTGATGAGAAGTCTCTGGTCCCATGACATCCTTCCGCACTGAGTACCAACCTTTTGGTGTGCATCATAGTATTTGTTTCACATAGTGTTATGTATGCATGATCTTTTAAGGCTAAGAAGCCATGGTAAAGCTCCATGACATCTATCCATATATATATATAATTATATATATGTATATTATAGCACTGAGGACCAACTGCCCTGCTGGACCAAGCAAACGAAGGCTTGTTTTCATTGCTTGTCTTTTATGTCGTGACAGCACAAGTGCCAGTCTGATCGCTCTGTATTAAAAATAGTGTTTTTAATTAATTGATGTTATAGTTCTGTCTACCTCAGCACCTCCTGTTAGCCTAATTTTAGAAGGTGCCCAATTTTTGTTTGTTTGTTTTTTTCAGATTATTGGTTACTATTTTTTGTACAAATCTTCTGTTTGTTTTCTCGTTCTGTTCATTTCTTTTGCAGCACTGCTTGCGAGTCCGTTCTCTAGCCACAGATGCAGTTAGCTAAAAATTTAAAAAGGAAAAAAAAATTTCCCAAATTGTGATGTCTCCTAGTTGCAGCTCTCCGCATCTGCCTTCGTTCTGTGTAGATTCAGATGCATTTCTTTGTAAAACTTCAGTGTTTCTGACAGAGGAAAAGAAAAAAAGAAAAAAAAAGAATTTACTGCTGCAGGTTTTTTTTCTCTCCATGTGTCACTAAGTGAAGTTCGTGCCTTCTATAGCAAAGAGAATATTTTTTACATCCTACTAACAGTAGATTTTTTTGTAGTGAACATTTTTTGTATTTTTATTTATAAGTCTCATAAGAAAAATAGCAATGTTCAGTTGTATACCTTGAATCTGCAGTTAGAAAAAAAATAATAAAGTTAATTCAGTCGTCTCTGCCTGCCGCCTCCTCCTTCTATTCTTTGCTCAGATGTTTCTCTCGCCAGGAAAAGGAGAAATCCATCGAGTGAGCTAAAACCTTACCTGATCCCCGTTGAACAGGACTGAAATAAGGGGACTGGATTGGAAGGCTGATGCTATTTCCATACAAATGGCCTTCACCTTTCAGAGAGCACTGGAGAGATTTTTGCTTTTTTTTTTATACCAGCAGATGTCAGCCTCAAACAGAGCTGAAGTTGGCAGCTGGACTACTGCTGGCTCCCATTTTAACAGGCTCTGTGGCTTCTAAAATAAACAAGGATGGTTTGCAGTTCCCCTTCTTGTCTCTGGTGGTTTGGGGGTGAGGGACTGCCTTGAAATAGCTGTGAGATAATGTGACTGACCTCAACCGCTCTTCCCTGACACAAGTGTTTCCGACATAATAATCACCATGAATCATTTCAAGACAGCTCAATTAGAGAAATAATACTTAGATCTCATCACCAATATGCTCTCTGCACTGCCATGCGCATGGCCACTTCATATTTCTTCCTCCCATTTCATGGGTGGAGAAACTGAGTCTCTCACACAGCATAAGGCCATAGATTTTCCAGAGCTGCTAATGATTTTGGGAGGCTCCATTTTTTATTTTTTATTTTTTTGACTGCCCAATATGAGACACCTTTTAAAAGGGCCTGATTTTTCCCAATGTTCTGAGCACTCGCTGTTGTGTTTCAAGATGGGTACCATAAAGCGCTGGTCACTATTGAAAGTCTTGTCCCCATTGCTATGGAAGCCGGCCCTGCAGTTGGAGATAAGATTGCTTACCACAGAGGGGGATACTGTTCAAACCATAGGGAACTGGGATACCTTGGCCATTCAGCCAGGTCAGATAACGAGAATCAAATTGTGATTGAAATCACTATGGTTTTAACTTAAAGTAAAACCGAGTTGGCGGGTTATTCTCTGATCAAATGCCTTCCCTCTAACTAGAGGGTTACATTATAATGGCAATTAAAATTGGAGCACTGCCATGCTTATTGCACAGTGCACTGGTCCTTGACAATGCACAGAAACAATAGAGGCCTTCTGCTCTAATGTTCTCGATCATCACTTACGTATCGTGCAGCTAGAGGCTTCAACCAGCTCCAGCTTCCATTGGGCCAGGCACTGCCGGAACAGATAATTGATGCCTCCTGCCCCAACCAGCTCACAGTCTGACTCGATTTCCCTCTCCTTTGGCTCCATATCAGCCTTCCACAGGGCTCAAGGGCGGTGGGGTGGGTGCTAACCTGTCTCCTCGGCGGAAGCCCGGCTGCATTGCGGGAAATGTTGGTGAGGAGGAGAAAAAGAACCTGCTAAACTTTTGCAGCTCATGAAGTACTCACCACTCCTCCTCCCTTGCAAATGAAGGTGAAGAACCATTACAAAATATCTATACTTTCTTTACGTGGCTCCTGGGAGCTCAGCTTTGTAGGCCAGGGTCGTGCGGGGGAAGCCAGCGAGTTTCATCACAAACGAGGCTCCTCCCCTCCTAACACAGCTTGCGTCCTGGTTCCACGCGCTGGAATTGCTGCTGCTTGTTTGAGTGGTTGCATCCCTGGGAGCTGTCACTGCTGACACCTCGTCGCCTCGGATATCGTGGCCCCTTCGTGGTCTCTCTAGTGCTGGAAGTTTGGGCAAAGTAAACTCGTTGGTCTCTCTGAAAGGGCAAGCACCTGCTTATATAGGGGGAGGGATGGGGAATGTGTTTCTTTCGCAAACCCCCCAGTCCTTGCTCAGCTTTCTCTGCTGCCCCTCACAACATGCTGAGTGCATATCTCCAATGCACGCACCCGGCCGGAGCAGGCCTCGTCTAAGCCTTCTCTTGACAGATGGGAGGGCAGCACGATTTCCATCTTTAAAACAACATTTAATAGCAGTTTTCTGCTAAATGACATCAAAGCAGAGGCTTAGGTGCTCCGGGTGGGTCATGTGCCCCATGGATATGGGTGAGAAGAGGTGAGTGAATAGCGACCCTGCTGAATAGGCTTTGTGTGACAGTGAGGGCTTCCCATCCTTATGTGCTCTTTGACCCAGATATGATCTAATGGATAAAAAGGGGCCCTGACAGCGCGAGCATGAAAAAGCTTTGTGCCCTTCATTAAATCCCTCAAACCATATTTATACAGCCTCAGCGGCTGTGCACAGCTCGGGGGCTGGGGAAGGGAATGCACTGGAACATACAAAGAGCGCTTGACCAGCCTCAGGAATCTGCTCCCCAAATGTCTGAGTGACGCTTCACGGGGTGCACAAGGAGAGATTCCTGTCCACTTTGCCAGGGGACACTAAGTCGAGTGACCTCCGCTTTGCAATAACAGCTCCTGCCACGTTCGACGGGACGACCTAGCAGAAAAGAGTGAGCGAGACTCACTTTCAGTTTACTTTTGCTTGCTGTAGAATGTGCAAGAGTCCCCCATGTACAGCGCAAAGCTGGCCTGTTTCACTGAAAGTTGGCAGCAGATTTTTTTTTTTAACCCAGCTTCCCATGCTACAGCTCTGGGGGAAGAGCAAGGCGCTGCTCTCTAGCATGAGGAGTGGACGAGGAGCCAAATGAAAGCTGCACATCCCATGGGCTGTAATAGATCCTTTCTTTTATATTGGAAAGGATGAGTCTGTGGACCCAAGAATAAACACTTGAGGGTGGGAATAAACACTTGAATATTTTGGTTCCTGTACTCCAGTTATCTCGCAGTGTTCGCAACCCTACGCCTTCAAAAATCATGAGTTGGGGCCCCAGAAATCATGAGATGGTTAAAAATCATGACCTTTTTAACCTAAGGAACAAAAGTTGTGCACTATTTTCCTTCTGGGGTTTGACTCTTTGGAGTCTCCTGTGGTCACATTTTCACACTTGTCTCTGCACCATGAAGGCTAGAAATGTATGTTTTCCAATGAAAGCTGTTCCTTGCGTAATCACGGGACTCCAAGAGTTGAGACTTTAAGAAAAACAATAAACAGCGCAAGATACAAATAAACAGAAAGGGCCTGATGCTGCTTTACTCTGAAATCCCTTTGCGGCACCCCAGCCCAGTAAAGGGGCCTTAACCTGTGGGAAATTACAGTACTGCCCCCAGAAGACCCCTTTACACTGCCAGTGTGCCATAAAGGGGCTTTGGAGTGAACGAACATCAGGCCCCAAATACTCTGCTGCTTGGACACTTTTTCCCCTTTTTAGATTAGACACACTGGGGCTCTGCACCTCTAGACAGCATCTCAGCCAGCAATCTAAAGTGCTTTAAAAAACTGTTTGCTGCCATCGGGGAAACCGAGGCAAGAAGCGGCCAATATTTCAGGTGTTTCCGTTTTTGGGCTGCCCAACACAATGCACCTTAGGGTTGAGTTTTCAGCTTGGTCAAGCACCCAGAGCTGCCATCAGCTTTGATTGGCCTGGGGGGTGCTCCGAAGCTCTTGATTTCAGGGAGCTGAGACAAAGCTCCAGAACTGGGAACCTCCTGCAATCAGACTCTGGAACATCACCATCTCGTTGCCTTGCCCAAGGCTTCCTGGCAGAGCTGGGAACAGACCCCTTAGCTTCTTCAGAAGCTCAGACCACTTTACCACGCTCTTCCCATCAGCATGACCCCCCCCTCCCCCAGGAGCAGGGAACAGTCTGCCCTCAACTAGGCAGACGAGTTAAGCCAACACAAAAAGAGGCTGAAGAGGGGGAGTCCATGGGGAATCACAATTGGGCCAGGTCCTATTTTTTTTTTTTTTTTTTAGAAAGTCTCAATCCCCCAGTTTGGCCCCCTCTGCGCAAAGAGGGAGGAAACAGCGCCCGCCTGGTTCCCATCCAACAGGATTATCAGGATCTGGTTAATCCGGTATCAGAATAAACTGATTCCTGGCACTAAATGAGTGAATAGAGCAGCGAGGAAATGGCCAGCACAAGGAGGAACAGGACCTCCCCCAGGTAGGCCCTGAGGGAGATGGCAGTGAGAAACGAGTTGGAGGTAAAGGGAATAAAATCTTGGGGAGACTGTTACAGGAAGGAAACATGGTGAAGGCACCGGGGTGAAGGGAAGGAAGGGTCTGTGGTTTTTGTCGTGAGTGTGTGTGTGTGTACACACGCCTGCACCTGTCCTCTAAGTGTCCGTCCTGGGGGTGGGGGGAAGCATGCACCCGTACCTCTCCTCTGTGTGTGCCTGCACGCCTGCGGGCTGTTCTTCGTGTGTGGAAGTCTGTGTGCGCGTGCCTGGAGGCTTGCACGCGCCTCGGATCTCAGCCGCCTTCGCTGGCTCGTCTAAATGTGTTCTGGGCTCACCAGGGAGCTGAGCAAGTTTGCTTCAATGAAAGTGAACTCGTTCATTTAAACCTGACTATAGAGTACTCCGGCCCCCTGCTGTGTTAATTATCCTGTAGTTCTAAACTGATTGCTGTACACTAAGCTTAAACCCTCCTTTATTTATTTACTGACTACATTAACAGCAAAGCCTGCGCTCCTTTTATCTAGTTGCAAACTCCATGGCATGCTGCACTCATGCTCTTATTTAGCTGCTCGATACAATCCCATCATGGGGTGAGGCAGGGGCTATAATTAATATATTTTCTCTCTGCTTTTTCCTCCCTCTCGCTCCCTCCCTTCCAGCACAAGCAAGAGCAGTGTGGGAAGGCTCCTCGGGGCACTTGGTTAAAAAGCCCCCTGCTCATGTGGGTTTGTGGGGGGAGGTGATGCCCCTGTAGCCCCTGTGTACTGCTCTCTACAGGCTCCACCTATGGGACTCAGTGTCCCCATGTGCAAATAACTCCCCCCACCCCCGGCCCCATCTCTGGTCTGGAGTGCGAAATCCCAGCTTAACACTGGCGAGAGTGTCGCGAAGGAGCAAGCTGCCTCTTGGGTAATTAGCGCCAAGCTCTCCCAGCAGAGGGAGCAGCTGCCCGAGCACCTGCCGGGCTGCCGCTGCCTTTGCATGGCCCGGTGCGACGCACGAGCCCACGTGCGGTACCCTCGCCAGGGCTGCCGAGCCAATCCGGGGAGTTA